CAAGTAAAATCAGACTATAATTTTCCGTCTTTATTTTCAGTATTTCCCCATGTAGTCTCTTGTAAAATTCTGCTTGTCTTTCTTTTGGACTGTAAATCCCTATTATCAGATATTTCATATCTTCACTTTGTACCTCAACTCCAATGTAATGTCCCTCCTGGTCATTAAATATTTCTTTGGCTTTATACTTATTTTGAATATATAATACAACACCTCCTTTTCTCTTTTCATTGGCCGATATAAACATTTGTCCTAATCTCGAGTTCTTCATATATTTAGTTTCATTTTTCTTAATTTTAGTCTCTTGCAAACATATTATTTCTGCTCTTTTTATTTTTTTTTATTATTATTATTATTATTATTATTATTATTATTATTATTAAATAATAAAAAAGTTTTACTCCTCTTGAATTTCAAATTTAGGCCCTTTATATTCCAAGAAATAATTTTAGTCGCCATATTTCCATTTAATTCTTTATTAATTGAAAAACTAATTTATAATTGTTCTTCCACTTCTCCTTCACCTTCTCCTTCTTCTAAATATATTTGCACACTTTTTTCTTCTTCCGAACACAGTTCCCCAGGTAAGTTCTCTTGTAATTCCTCCTATTTAGAGCAAGCTCTTTCTTGTTGTTGTTCCTGTTGGTATGAACTTACAGTTGTAAACCGCTTAGACACCCCATAGCACAATATGAAGCGATATATAAATGAAGCTGCTTTGCTTTTAGGAGCCCTGGTGGTGCAGTGTACTGCCTGTACTGCAACTGCTCACTCATAGACCACAAGATTGCGAGTTCAATACTAGCCAGGGCTCAGGCTAAACTCAGGACTGCATCCTTCCGAGGTCGCTAAAATGAGTACCCAACTGTTGGGGGGCAATGAGCTTATTGTTGTAAACCGCTTAGACATCCCATAGTGTGATATGAAGTGGTATATAAATGAAGCTGCTTTGCTTGCTTTGCTTTGCTTTATTCCATTTTCATTCTTGCTCTCGTTTTCATTCTATCCTCCAGTGGTCTCTCTTCTCGTTCTTTTTCGTGTTTTTCAGTCTGCTTTCATTACTGAGTTTATTCTGTAATGTCGTTGCTTGTACATAAAAGAGACTCCTTCAATTCTATCCCAGGCAAATCTGATTCTTCTTTTCGTTAATTCGTAGTTAGGAATTTGTACTCCTGTCTTTTCCTCAGCACTGCCATTAGCACATCCTTGTAAATCTTCACTATTTTACCATCCATCAAGAGATCTTCTTGATAGCTTTTTTTGTAAAATTATTTCTTTCATTCTAGATCTTATAAAAGATACTATAACCTCTCTTGGGACATTTTTTCCCTTGCTACTGTGGAGTTAATCGTGAAGGTTTAATCTGTATCTCTTATTATCTCCTATTTTGGTATGCCTGAGAATTCCGCTAGGGAAGTAGTTATTTTTTCCAATAAGTTTTGGTTCGGTGCTTCTGGCACCCCTCTCAGCTTCAAGCACTTCTCCCTGTAACAAACCTCTTGCATCAAATTTATGTTGCTTTCTCACCTCTGCCGTTCAGAAAGATCCGCTGTTGTGATTTTCAGTTCCTTAGTTGTCCCTTTAAGTTCTTCTACATTTCCTCTTAAACCTTCTATTTCACTTGATATCTTTTCCAATTTTGTCCCAAATGCTCCCAGCTCTCTTTGTAGATCCTCCTTCATTTCCTTCCTAGATTGTTTCAGTTCAGCCTTCATCTCCATTCGTATTTCTTCTCTAAGTTTTTGGAATTCATACAATAATGTTTGCATTGGATCAGTTGTTCTCGCCATTTTATCTGTTGATCCTCTCCTTTGAGAGGCACCTGAGGTTGGGGTTGGTTTCCTGGTTCCCATTGCCATTTTTAACTCTTTAAAACTTATACACTTCCTTCAAATTTTTTGTCTACTTTTCCTCTTCCTTTTCTTTAGTATATGCACCACTCCAGTTACTTCGATTATATGTTATTTTATGTTGGTTTTCTATTTTCTTTAATCTTAAAAGGAAGCCTTCTAGGAGAAAAAAAGAAAAAAATGTTTCAATACATCAATTATGACACATCCAATATCACATATAATTCTATTCCTTATTCCCTTCTGTTATTCACAATATCAGTTGACTGTCTCTATTACACTTGACTATATAACTCAGGGGTAGGCAACCTTTTTGAGCCGGGGGACGGGTTGCTGTCCCTCAGACAGTTGGGGGCCAAAGCACCCAAAATAAATAAATAAATAAATATAATTTTTTTTAAAAATTAAAAATTAAAAAAAAATGCATGCACACTCTCT